CCTGCCTCCGCGCGATTTTTATATCAAGTCTCGCGCGTGGCGCCCATTTGATTTCCGCATCGAAAAGTTATGGGGTGGTTACTGAGGGGCTATGAGCGTTGTCACGTTGTTTGTGTCGCATTGTTCGTGTGGTGTCGTTTCGTGCGTATGTGTGTGTGTGTTTTATTTTGGTGTTCGTAGAGTGGTGTGCGCGTGGTGCGTGGGATACGTCCTAGTCGACCGACGTCGAGCCGAGCTTGGGACTTCAGCCCCCCAAGATGTCGGTTCGCGTGCGGGTCCGATAGGCGTATTGCCGCGCGTACCCCCTATGTTACAGCGAACGAGAAACGCCCTCGGCTGGCCCACCTCTGCGATTGCAACCGAGTAGCTTTCGTATTGTGGACTGGTAGCTCGACGAGGATACGCCCACCGAAGGGAGGTGACAGCTCCCGTAGGGTGGAGGCAAGGTGTGCCTCGCGTAGACCCTGTCATGTCGTAGAGGCTCGCGAGAGGTATGGCTGGCGCACTCGGCCGGAGCGGCTTAAGGAAGTTTCTTTTGTACGTCCGTGACGAGGTTGGTCCGACTCCTGCGTGACGCGGCCTAGAGGGTCCCGCGCTGCCGCGTGCGGTGCCGGACCGATGCGCTCGACAACGTGAAGCAGAAGAAAAAATAAGACGAGCGAAGAAAAGGAAAAATGAAAGGATAGACAGGCAAAGACACAGACAAACCAGAAAGACACAAAACAGTGTCTTCTTCTTCTTTGTTTAGTGTATTCTTATTTCTTTCAGTGTTTTATAAATTTTTTACACTGAACAAAGGATAAAAATAAAAAACAAGGACACATTGAAATCATTCAATTTCTCAGTCTTGTTAACTCCTCCTCCACTGCGCCTCTCACATACAAGGCTCGCCACGTTGATGAAGTGAAGCGCGAGCTGCCCCCATCCCCGTATGCCATAACAGCCCACTTGCACGCTGTGGGAAAGAGGCAGAGTAAAGGGAGAGGTGTTAAACACAAGGAAGAGGAGCAAAAAAGGAAAACTGATAGGCGAAGGGAAGGTGACACAACTTCTTTCTTTTACTGTATTCTTCTTTTTTTCACAGTTTTGCAATTTTGGTTAAGGATCTACCACGCTCGCTTTACAGCGCACCTACACTTCCTTCTTTACTTTTTATTCTCATTTTCACCCTTCTGACTTTGATCACGAAATTCTAAGGATTCGTCGTACCGAAGTCCTCGAAGTCCAGAGGATGTACCACCCACCATTTACCTGTCCATCGATCAATCAACCGGTCAGTGTGCAGCTCGTTCCCGCCAATTCCAGCCTCCCTCAGACAATCTCTATATGTCTAAGCTCGCTTCCACCAATTCCTCCATGGCCGCTTGATGCCACTTTCCATTTTTTTCGACCTCTCAGTCTTTTCAATATTTTGCTTCCTCGTCAACTCTTGGTCAATTTTACTTCAGTATTTCCTCGTCAACTCTTGGTCAATTTTACTTCAATATTTTACTTCCTCTTTCTTTTCAATATTTTAATTCCTCCGTTCCCGCCAGTTCCAGACATCTCCAGATTTACAGTCGTCAGCGACCAATTGCTTTTTCCACATTTTCTCTCTTGCCTCCAAGCCCGCACGTCCTTCGACACAAGAGAGTAAATGGCGGGAGATGGAGATGGAGACAGACTGGATTTGGTGGCAACGAGCGAGATAAGGTTCAATCGGCTGCGATGACCGAAGAGGAGAGGAGAGAAGAGGAGAGGAGAGGAGAAGGAAAGACAGACATGCAAATCGTAGAAAACACAAAGACACGTGATGGATCGGAGACAGACAAACAGACAGACAAAGACACGTGGTGGATCGTCGCCAGCAGACCGAAAGACACGTGGCTCGTAGAAGGCAAGACAGACACGTGGATCGTCGTCACCTACACGCCCCCTTTCTTATTGACTCCTCAAGGTTTGCCACGTGAATCCAACCTTTTCAGAACCTTATGCCACGTGACACTTCATGCTGTCATTAAGTGAAGAAGAAATACTTATCTCGGGCCGATCACAAGCATCCAAGGTCATTTACTGAAGAAATATCTCGGGCCGATCACGGGCTGTTTCAAATCCGCTAACTATGACAATACTAGGGTAACGAGTATAAAACTTGTCGATAACAAGCATCCAAGGTCATTGACGAAGGCACGGTCTATGTGAGCATCACCTTGGTCAAAATTGAAGAATCTCGGGCCAGCAACAGCAGACGAAATTTAAGGGGGCAGAAAAGAAAGAAGAAAAAACAGCGGTCACAGGATGGTCAATCGAACGTAGGAACAGAAAAAGGGCAGACCCCCTTTTTTTCCTTTCAAGGGGGGGGGAGGGGGGGGAGGGGAGGCGGAGAGGGAAGAGGGGGGCTCCTGACAACCACAGAAATCGCAAAAAGGGTGGTGGGTTGGTTTAACTAACGGCCATAGGATCGCAAAGGAATCGAAGGTAGACCGACCAGGGAACCCGTACTACAGTCTTCACCAGAATAGAACGCCCGGTCATTATAGCTGTACTTAGGGACTGGAAGTTGCCATTAAAATGACCGGGAGTTCCGTTAAAAGGAAGGAATCGTAGACCTAAGAGGGACGGGAAATTTGATGAAATTGTAAAAGGGAAAAAGGAGGAGATTGATGATTGAGTCTCTGTGGCTAAGCAACATTACAGTCTGAGCTTCTTTCCAAAAATGGAAATGACACACACAACAGCCAGGTCACGGAATAAGCAACTTGCCACAAACACAGGCCACCAGAGTCCACCAACCTTCACAAACAGACCAAGTGCAGGGCCCGCCCTGGTCGTCCCTTCAGGATCAACCGTATATTCCCAGAATATTACTTACTGTTTGTATGATCGTGAACTTGCACCTGGGCCTACATCTGCAATTGTATACTCTAATACATCGTCACAAAGATATCAGACCGCAAAAGCGAAAAAAAGACAAGAAAAAAAAATCCAATTCATTTTTTATCTTCTTACTTACAACTCCCCCTGTTCAGAACCTCTCGCGTACAAGGCCGCCCACGTGGATGTAGGTTGAGCGGCGGCTGCCCCCACCTATATACATCGTCAATATCTATGTATATATAATGTATATACAGTAAGTCGCTGGCTCAAGCAGATATCCCCCCCCTTAAAACACGCTTTCCCCCACACTCTCTTAGCCTACAACTTGCACTGATCGACGTCCGAAAGGTGCCGATATCTCCTTTAATTCGACATCGAGCGGTCTCTTTCTTCAGCTTCTTTTTTATGTGTAGGTGCTTATACTGTATGATAGACATAAAACCCGACTTTTTACATATTCTGGAGGAAAAAATATATATCCACGTGGGCGGCCTTGTACGCAAGAGGTTCTGAACAGGGGGAGTTGTAAGGAAGAAGATAAAAAATGAATTGATATCTTTTTTGTTTTTCCTTTGTTTTTCCTTTGTTTTTCCTTTGTTTTTTCGTTTTTGCGCTCTGATATTTATGTGACGATATATATATGGAGGTTCAGTCAGTACAATGCCTAACGATAAAAAATGAATTGATCATCCACGCGCGCTCCAAACGACTCCTTTACTTCGATGAATCGTAAGCGTTGATCGGTATGACCGGGGAAACCTCTGAAAGGTGTATGCTGCAACGCAGGCCGTCGGATTAGGGCATGTCTCTTCATCGCTCAGCACCTCGGGCGTGACTACTGGCGCTCGTAAAAACTTCACCGATCTTCACACCTGCTGCTTGATTAGTCAATCTAAGATGATGTTTGATTAGACGCCGTCAATCTAAGATGCTGTTTGATTAGTCGAACGATCGATCGATACTGTGGACTGACCAATCGATCGTAAAGTACCGGTTGATTGATAAATTGATTGACCAGACCTCGTTGATGATCAATTGATTGGAGTATCCATCAATCCAATCCATCAATCAATTGATTGGGTGATTCATCCGTTCCTTCATTGCTCGATTGTTTGGTTGATTGGAGATCGATCGATCGATCGGGGATTCGTTGGTTCCTGATTGGTCGATGGGTGCGTTGATTGATTGATTCACTCATTCATTGGATGATAGGTCAGTTGATTGGCTGATGGCCTGAAATGAGAAACCATTCCAACATATCGTTCCTCTCCTGCTTCCCAGCAGCCTCCTCCTCCCCCTCCTCACATCTTCCTCATTCTCCCCATCGATGACATGACGACATCATCGCCCTTTTCTTGTTCAGAGATTCCCTGCCACTACGATGCCATGACGACATCATCACCAGATGACGTGACAACACCCTCTCAACATTTTAAATACATGATATAATATAATATAATACATATATATAACATATAATAACTGCATGATATAATATAATATAATGATAAGGGCCTTAAGCACATGATTGGGGGTAAGGATCGGAGGGACCAGAATTTGGGGCGGCAGGAGTTAAGATTAGGAAGGGAACGCTGGGAACAGGAGCGAGGAGGGACCAGAATGTGGCAGCGGGCGCGTAAATACTGGCCATATACATTCTGATTGCAATGGATTCGAGATTGATTCAAAATTTTCAGTATATACATGAATAAACCGTTGTGCTATGAATATATACCAAATCGACTGAATTTTCAATATACTCATTAATTAGTTAATAATACTGTAACTAAGCAACTAACTGTGCCCCCTCCTAGACGTCTGGTTGGCCAGGCACGTCTGATGGACATGATGATATTTCTCTGCGTCCCTTCACACTAGGAAATAAATGATGACGTGTTTTCTTCCAATCCGCCTTGTGAATTACGAACTGAACCGCCTTCGTCAAGACACTAGGAATTATTCAACGGCATTTTCAGAGAGGGAAAACAGTTCTTCGGGACATCCGTGAAACTGGACTGAAGCAGAGAACCTTTGCATGACCCCTGCGCATTTAAGAATGACCCGTACGAATCAAAGGCGGGCTAGAAGGGGGGCGGGGAGGGGAAGAGAAAGGGGAAACAACTGGTTCACACCGATCTTCTCACCTGCTGCTTGAAGGCCGCGTCTTTGACCGCGTCGCATCTCCTTTGGGCCGCCCCATCTCTCTCTCTCTCTCTCTCTCTCTCTCTCTCTCTCTCTCTCTCTCTCTCTCTATCTATCTATCTATCTATCTATCTATCTATCTATCTATCTATCTCTATCTATCTATCTATCTATCTGTCCATCTCTAATGTTGAAACACGTGACAATCCTTCGAACGGCCCCTTTCTAGCACATACAGATCTGATGCTGTTTACATGACAAGCAGCACCCGGGAAAGGGCCGGTGTTAGGTTTTTCACCCACGTGGTCATCTGACGAGTGCTCTGTGGGTAGGTACACACGTGGATACTCTTATCCTATACGTCTTCGATGAGAACAAGGCGACGTGCTGTCGTTCCTTCTTCCACGCAGGCATCAATCCAAATTTCAGTCACATTTTGCCACGTGGCATGACAAGACACTCCCGCAATCTTCGCCCTCAAGCTTCGACAACGGTGAACACAAAAGCACGACGAGAGCCACGTTGATGACGGTATACAATCGGCCGGTGAAATGAGAAAAAGACCCTGCGATATTTTGGAGACCAGTTATGAGTACTTGCTGATCGAATCTGGCCGCGAACGCCGCCTGAAGCATGCACCACGACCGAGAGTTTCAGTACCTTCTGAGACAGATCTATTACAACGTCGTTCTCAGACGCGATAGTCAGCAAGAGTAAGCCACGTCTCGCCACGTGGCAGCACTCGCGCTAATCCGACCGGACAACGGAGATCCGACCGATCAACCAACCAACCAATTAATAGGTGAGAGGTGATAACTCTCTCGATCCTGCCGGGCTACCGGTAGCGGAGCACAGCTGTGTGCCATTCCCCCGACATACCACTACAGGTCCGAAGGGAACAACCGGCCCATCGCCCACCTACGCCGCAGAACCGGAACAAACCGAACTACACCTCCCGCCGTCTGTGAGAGGACCCCAAGGAATGAACCGCACCCTTGTGGGCAGTCATCCCTGTCGGCCTGCGTGCCTGGGGAAAGACCCTCTTTCACCCCACTTGGGAAAACCCTTCAGTTCAAGGGGCCGGCAATAGAAGGCCCTTATCCTTGCGCCTCGTTCCCCCTAATCCCTGGGCCTCCTTCCACTAAGGCTTGTGCTCCACCGACTTGAATTCATGAGGCTCCACAGCCCACGAATTTCATGGTTCTTTCACAAAAATTGTTCATCTAAGGATCTCTACCGGATCAGACAGCCGGATTTGGCTGCTGTTGCAACTTAGGGGAAGAGTGGGGGTCAGCACATCGCCAGACTAACAAAGACTTAGGGAAAGAGTAGGGGTCAGCACATAATGCGCTTTACGAAGACTAATGCGCTTTACAAAGACGAACTGCGAAAAAACCCTTTATGGGGCATCATGGGCATGACGGAAAAAACGGGCTCAGTGCAGTGGAGGCACGACTTCTTTGTGGAATTTCATTATTCCCCCAAATTTACTATTGTGAGATTGTTCAAGTATTACACCACCAGTACTTGGCCCAGCTATTCAAGTCGAGCCTGAATATGCCCTAAGCGCCGATTTTTGCCAAGCCTGCAGTGAATGGGAAAAAATACAGGACATTTGTTGCTTCAAGCAAGTGTCGCCCCTTATGCTGGACCTACTGCCAGCAGATGGAACGTAAACAGGCCGTCGTTTTTTTGTTTCCACTCAGTTGGCACCCGAAGCCTCGCCAGGAGTGCAGTCAGTGCGAAATGTGAACGTTACACTGCCAGACACTCAATACGGGGAGTCAGATCACGAAGTGTCAACGATCTTCTTCAGAAAAAGCAACAAAAAAAAAGGTGAAAACGGAAACCAAGCTATGCACTCACGTGTCGCGTTTTACATCTAGATACGTTTGGGAGAGTGTGAACTTTACACTGCCAGGCATTCAATGCTCCCTCGGTCCAACGAAGAGTCAAATCACGAAGTGTCAAGGATCTTCTTAAGAAAAAGCAAAAAAAAAAAAAAAGATGAAAAGGGAAGCTAAGCTATGCACTCATGTGTTGCATTTTACATCCAGATACATTTGAGAGAGTATGGACGTTGTCGGGCGCATCGGTCCGGCACCTCACGCGGCAGCGCGGAACCCTCTCGGTCGCGTCACGCAGGAGTTAGACCAACCTCGTCACGAAGATACAAATGGAGTTTCCTTAGGCCGCTCCGGCCGAGTGCGCCAGCCATACCTTTCGCGAGCCCCTACGACAGGATAGGGCCTACGCGAGTCACAACTTACCTCCACCTTACGGGAACTGTCACCTTCCTTCGGTGGGCGTATCCCCGCCTAGCTACCAGTCCACAGTACGAAAGCTAATCAGTTGCAATCACAGAGGTGGACCAGCCGAGGACGTTTTTTCGTTCGCTGTAGCATAGGGGGTACGCGCGGTAGTACGCCTATTGTGCCCGAACGCGAACCGACATCTTGGGGGGCTGAAGTCCCAAGCGCGGCCCATCGTCGGTCGATTAGGCATGCATACACCGCACTACGAACACAAAAATAAAACACACACACACACACCGAACAACGCCTGTCTCTTATACACATCTAGATGTGTATAAGAGACAGCGGTAGTACGCCTATTGTGCCCGAACGCGAACCGACATCTTGGGGGGCTGAAGTCCCAAGCGCGGCCCATCGTCGGTCGATTAGGCATGCATACACCGCACTACGAACACAAAAATAAAACACACACACACACACCGAACAACGCGACAACACTCTTGGTCCCTTAGTAGCCATTCCATAACTTTCCAAGGCGGAAATCGGATAGGCGCCGCGCGCGCGACTTAGTATAAAACCGTGCGGACGCAGGGCTAACTCATATCGACCCGCAATGCAAACGTACACAAGCAGTCGCAATGATGGCGTACTATGTAGTGCCCATACTCGTGTGGTTCTCCTTAATCTCGAGGGTCGCATTCGACACTCAAGTGTCGGCTGACACTCGCTTTGAGGGTTAATCTCTCGACGCTGGACAACCGCCAAGCGCGTTTGAAGACCACACACCCTCTTCTGCACTCTGTGGAGAGTGAGGCAAATAGACTCTGCACGGGGGTAGATTACTTCCCTGCAGAGTCTAGGGTTTGGGATGTCCTGGACAAGGACCTTGAATCCCGTCCCAGGACAAATGTCCGACCATAAAAATCCCTAAGAAGCAAAGGATAAAAGGGGATTTTTTTTTTTTCTCAAGCAATAATCTGGCTAACCCTTGCGCACGATCACAATAAGCTGCGCGCATGCCCAAGGCACATATAAATATATACATAAGGCTTATTTATATATGACGATCACTTCTCACAGTCACAGTGAGACTCTTCTCAGCCATATATGTATGTAATCGCAGACAGTCACATCCAGAAGCCGAACCACAACCATATTTGCAATCACGTCAAAGATCCAACGAAAGTCCACGCACTACACGGGGTCAACTTCAACCATTCTCTATACTCATACCCCTTGCTTTAGTCATACAAACCTCACTCTTGTGCAACTCCCCAAAATAAGTACTCAGTACCTTAGTTAAATGGTCATTCAATAAAGTCCGGGTGAAAACACAATGAAACAATTCAAACCACAGGGCTAAAGCCTTTAGGTTGAGTGACATGAGTGGATTGGAGTTGAATCGTAAACCGACGAATCGACAACCGATCTGTTATCAGTGATAACAGAAGGTGATCCTCGTAGGATCAAGCTGAATCTAGTCCAAATCCTGAATCAACTGGTCAAGAGGACCTGTAACACATGACAGGCCAATCCCAAAGCTAAAATCATAAGTGTATGAAAAATAGAACTCCATAACACATTTTCACTCAATTATTCCTCGTTTACCAAGCCTAAATCTACCTTTAAGTTGTGCCCAAGCAAAGGTAGACTCTGGCATAATCTCCCCTGTACAGAGTGGATCGCCAGAACCGCCACCTGTCAAAATATAGTCTAACTCCTTTAAACTAAGAAAATTTCGGCAGCGCTTCCCGTAGGAAAAGTGCCTTTTCAGAATTTATATCAGCCTAAATATGAAAACAGGAATAGTTTTTGACTTTTCAAAGTTCAATTTTGTCTAACTCCCTGAATTAGCAAAAATTTGGGCAGCACTCCCGCTAGAAAATGAAACTTTCCAGACTTTTACTAAGTCGTATATATAATTTAAACAAGTTGAACTTTGACAAATCAAATTTGACTAACTCCTTGGATTTGCAGAAATTTCGGCAGCACTTCCCGTAGAGAAAGTAGCTTACCAAAATTTATACAAAGCCAAGTATAATAAAAGATCTCAGAAAAATACAAAAACGGATCTAAGTAAAATAAACTTGGCTCAAAAAATGCAGAAATTGAAACTAACTCATATCGCTCTATCACGTGGCGAACCTCTAAAGCAACTACCTGTCGAACTGAAACTCAGACCAAGTCGTAGCCTCACTTAGTCACATGCAGGCCAAACCACCAAGGTAAGTACTCTCACCAGCCCAAAGTATGCCTGATCGAATAATAGTTCATAGCCCTTCAATGATTTAACCCTTTACACCCAGTTTACATAAAGCGTAATGTCAAGCCATCCAATCTTATGGAACATGCTTGACTCAGCCATTAAGTATACACGAACATGTTGCACCACTACTTCTCTCTTCTTTTGGGCATGTGACGAAGTCGTTCATCTTAGAAGCAAGGTTGGGTCGCCCTGAACTGTTTAATATCCAAACTTTATATATCTCTCTGAACTTAGTGTTCAAAAATTAAGCATAAGACTGAGTCATTCATCTTAGAAACAAAGCTCAGTCTGCCCAAAGTTACCTTCAATTATATTATTAGTTATACTCTCTTCATTTTATGATAAACTATAGTCAGGTCATCCAATCTTATGGAACCCATGCCTGATTAGCCTGTTCATAGATAAGATAGCATAGAATATAACCAAATTCTAACCTTTTGGGTTCCAACATGTGCGAGGCATTGGGCCAGACCATCCAATCTTATGGAACATATCTGGTCCTCTGCCAGGTTCGTTTCTCTCTGATCCAACTGTGTGCGGCATGAGTCCAAAGCCGTTCAATTTTATGGACATGCTTTGCCTTCAGCGAAAATTACCCCCCTCAGAATAAAACAAGAAGAGGCCGAGCCGTCCAATCTTATGGACTTGCCAGACCCCCTCGATTCGAAAACTAACAAAATAGAGTAAACCCAAATTAAACATGGCAACCAAACCCTCCAATCTTATGGTACAGGCTTGGCCCCTAAAAATCAATCACAGTCATGCCCTCACAATTCAGAGTTATGGAACATGTCTAATTCTCAATGCAACTTAAAAAGGTAAAACACAGCGGTCAGACCATCCAATCTTATGGAACATGTCTGACCCCATAAGACCCATTCAGTCTCAAGCAAAACCACCTTTCTCCCACCCTTCCCCCATATGCAACCCCTTTTCCTGAACAAGTCTGCTTTCAGTCAGTCAAAGAAACTGGAACTGAGTTTTCTCACACATTCCTTTATTTAATCTGAGCTGTGTCATGTCAGTCAAACCAAAGTCAAAGTGGGGGTGCATGCAATATACTCAGTCAGATACATAGCAAGATGTATAGATAGGGGTTATACCAGGGTACATGGAGGGGAAACAATGGGTACCTCTCAATTCCCTGCCTCCAGAACTCCTC